TTTCTTAGTTCTCGGCGGACACAACATCTTCGTTTGTATGTGGTGCTGAGGATCGAACCCGGGCCGCACGCATGCTAGGCGAGCACGCTACTGCTTGAGCCACATCCCCAGCCCGAGAGAGAGAATTTTTTAATATTTATTATTTTTTAGTTCTCGGCGGACACAACATCTTTTGTTGGTATGTGGTGCTGAGGATCGAACCCAGGCCGCACGCATGCCAGGCGAGCGCACTACCTCTTGAGCCACATCCTCAGCCCTAGTGTTCTTTTTTAAAAAAATATTTTTCAGTTGTCAATGGATCTTTATTTTTATTTATTTATATGTGATGCTGAGAATTGAACTCAGTGCCTCACACATGCTACGTAAGTGCTCTACCACTGAGCCACAACCCCAGCCCCATAATTACTGTTCTTAAAATAAGGAAATTATCATGGATCCTTTGCGTGGACCCAATCTAATCATGAGATTTTTTTTTTTTTTAAAGAGAGAGAGAAAGAGAATTTTTTAAATATTTATTTTTAGTTTTCGGTGGACACAACATCTTTATTTTTTATTTTTATGTGGTGCTGAGGATTGAACCCAGCGCCCTGTGCATGCCAGGCGAGCACACTACCACTTGAGCCACATTGCCAGCCCTGCGAGTTCTTTTTTTAAAAAAAAAAAATTTGTAGTTGTGTATGGACAGCTGTTGAGAGCCACAACCAAGTCAAGATGGCGCCTGGCATTTTGCCAGAAAGAGTGGTTGAGAAGTAACGCCAGAGAGCCATTAACATGATGATAATTAAGTTAAGCTGTGTATAATTATTAAGGTAATGACTGATTGCTGTAACTGGATGATGCTAAATTGAAACAAGCTGTGTATTCAATTGTGAATATAAACCTCTGCTGTCTGGCAATAAGGAGGCTCCTGCTACCTCAGGTGCCCGCTACTTTTGAGTTCTCGTGTTCCCGTTGAGTTCTGGCAATAAAGTAGTTCCTGTTTGAATCTACAAGTGGCTCGTGACCTGCCGGTTATTTGTGCCCAGCCAGACTGTGGCAGACAGCATGCCTTTATTTTATTTATTTTTATGTGGTGCTGAGGATCAAATCCAGTGCTTCACACATGCTAGGCAAGGGCTCTGCCATTGAGCTACAGCCCCAACCCTAATCATTGCCACTGATTATAGCCTAAGCCCTAATTCTTTTTTTTTTTTTTTTAAGAGAGAGTAAGAGAGAGAGAGAGAGAGAGAGAGAGAGAGAGAGAATTTTTTTTTTTTTTTAGTATTTATTTTTTAGTTCTTGGCGGACACAACATTCCCGCTGGTATGCGGTGCTGAGGATCGAACCCAGGCCGCACGCATGCCAGGCAAGCGCACCACCACTTGAGCCACATCCCCAGCCCCGTAAGCCCTAATTCTTAAGAGGAGAGACTTTGGGGCTGGGGTTGGGCCTCAGTGGTAGAACACTTGCCTAGTACATTTGAGGCACTGAGTTTGATCCTCAGCACCACAGAAAAATAAACAACATACAGGTATTGTGTCAATCTACAACTAAAAGAAATATTTTAAAAAAGAGAATTTTCTTCAGCTGAAAGTGGGAGAAATGAGGTAGAAAGGATGGTTAGAGAGATTCAAAATGTGAGGAGGACTTGCTGGGTTTTGACAGTGATTACAAGCTGGATAATGCAGGTAGCCTCCAGGAACTGAGGACCCCTGGCTGACAGTCAGCACCTTACAGTCATGTGGAACTAAATTTTGAAAACAACTTAAATGAGCCTATGGAGGACTCTCCCTCACAGCCCCTGGTAAGAGCTCAGGCCACCTGACGCCTTGACTTCAGCACTAAAACCTAGATCAGAGAAGCCACTGAACTTACCTGTACTTCTAACCCAGAGCCACATGATAACATGTTTGCATTCTTTTGTAGGACAAAATGCCTTTACTTTTATGAAGTGCAAAGGATTGAACCCAGTGCCTCACACATGCTAGGTAAGCACTCTGAAAAGAAAACTTGTCCACTGTTTTTTTTTTAAATTTTTAGTTGCTGATAGACCTTTATTTTATTTATTTATATGTGATGCTGAGAACCGAACCCAGTGCTCACACATGCCAGGCAAATGCGCTACTGCTGAGCCCCAGCCCCAGCCCCTAGTTCACTGGTTTTTTATTTTTTAAGTTTTAGTTGTAGATGGACACAATACCTTTATTTTGTTTATTTATTTATTTTTTGTGGTGCTGAGAATTGAATCCAGTGCCTCACAAGTGCTAGGCATGCACTCCACCACTAAGCTACAGCCCTAGCCCCTGGTTTTCATGTTTTTTTTTTTTAAATCTTTTTAAAGAAAGGGTTTTAGCTGGGCATGCCTGTAATCCCACTGGCTTGGGAGGCTAAGGCAGGAGAATAGTGAGTTCAGAGGCAGCCTCAGCAAAAGCAAAGCATTAGGCAACTCAGTGAGACGCTGTCTCTAAATACAATACAAAATAGGCTGGGGATGTGTCTCAGTGGTTGACTGCCCCTGAGTTCAATCCCTAGGACCCCTCTTCCCCCAAAAAAAGAAAGGGTCTTGCTAAGTTACCCAGTTTAGTCTTGAACTTGTGATCCTCCTGCTTCAGTCTCCCAAATTCTAAGTTTGCTGATTTTCTAGACAGGAAGACAACCATACACAACTCCCAAGAACTTGGAAAGGATGGCAGTGGCTGGGGGGGTGAACATGAGGTCAAGGGTTTTGTGTGCATGTGGTCCGTGGTGCTGAGGATTGAATCAAAGCCTTATGCATGCTAAGCAAGTGATCTACCTCTGAGCAACACCTCCAGCCCTTTTCATTTTGAGAGTCTCAGTTGCCCAGATTGGCCTCAGTTGCCATTCTGCCTCACTGCTCCCAGCAAGTGTTTCTTTCTTTCTTTTTCCCCCCCTCTGGTGCTGGGGATTGAACACAGGGCCTTGTGCAAGCACTTTACCAACTGAGCTACTTCCCCAGCCCAAGAGTGTTTCCTTTTTAAGTGTTGCTGACAGAAGACAGAGGTAACACTATGACTTGCCCCTCACAGGACTCATTACAACTAGCTCACCCCAAGTCAGCTGCATGGCACAAGTCATCTTTACTACCTGCAGGTGTTCATGGCTGCAAGCCATGCAGTGATCTTCCAAGCCTACAACCTGTGGGCAACAGGATAGGGGTTTAGCTCCCCTGAGGATGACCCCTATACAGCCTGACACAGAAACCGTACTGATAGTACCCCCTTTCTCGCCTCCTGTTCTCACCCTAACTAGTGTTTTCTGCTGTCCCCTCTCAGCTATATGGATTTGAATCCCTGTTTCAACTCAACTTCTGGGGGAAACCTGCACTAAGTGCGTCTACTGCCCATGGAGCACCCACAGAGCCCCACCTTGGACAGCGAACCTTTTCCTAGGAAGCTCTTTTTCTTAAGTTTACATCTTCCCAACGGAGAGGTTGGTAAAGCCCCTAGGCCTAGCCTGATCCCAGATGCCTCTCTGCCAGCTCTTACTGTCCTCCAGGTGTTTAAGAGAACTGGCAAGTTTCAGGAGTCCACAGATAGGCCTTCTGGCTTCACTCACTAAAGCCCTTTGCAGACATTCTCTTGATAATTAACCCCCAAACAGAACCTGGCCTGCCAAAAACAGGCTGACCCTCAGGTGCCTGGGGTCATCTTGAAGCAGGGTGGGGCCCATCCATAGGCAAAAGGCCTTGCTCCCAAGGGTCAGGCTACGGGGGCTACAGACATAAGATGGGCCAGACGTAAGATCACCATTGCCTCCAGTGTCCCCAATAGGTGTCAGTCAGCCTTTCCAGGGGACCTAACGGGCCTTACAGACCTAGGACGCACTAGGTCTGGCCCCGCCAAGTCATCCTGTTTCTGGAGGCGCAGCCCCGATGTGAGGAAGTATAGCCTGGGATGCCAACGTAGCTGTGCTGGGAGCTCCGCCGCAATCCTGCAGGCGGGCGGGCGGGCGGGCGGGCGAGTCGAGTTCGAGTGGGCGGGCCCGGCGCAGGCAGATGATCCAGGCCGTTCTGCGGGGCCTGGAGAAGGACCGGAGCAGGTTGTGGGGACCGCGAGCTAGCGGAAGGCAGCTGTGCCACAGTCGGGGCCACAGCCCCACCGGC